TTTAACTCTTTAACCCTGAATACTGGTCAGACTAAAATAAGAATATCTCATTTAGAAAATTCATTTACACCACCTCATAAATAATACCTGAGACACTTAATTCTTTTTCAGCAAATATAAATAGTATGATTGTGAAACTCTAGCTTTTTACAGAATGAGTTTGTTTTTTTAAACGTCTTTCGCTATGGCTTTCCAGGTCCAGTCATAAATAAAAGCAAGTGTCCCTGTCACAGCAGTGTTTGAGGTCATTCTCTGAAGCAGCTGATGCATGAGCTGTTCAGTTTACCCTTGCTTTGTCATTTTCTACCTTCCTTGAATCCCTTTCCCTCGGAGGAATCCACTAATATGGTGCAGCAGAAATGTTGACCTAGACTAAATATAGCTGATGATACAGAAAAAGCAGTTTGCTTTTGCAAGCTGCTTTTTATGCATAATATTTGAAAGTGTTTTAAACATGGATAGACTGCAAAGGACAGATCACCTCAGGTTGCTTCAGGATGATTGGCCATGAAAATCACACAGTCACACAATAATTGTGCAGCAAATTGTGTTTTATTAAATACATCAGAGTCTGGTTTATGCAATTGGAAAGTTTTTTTGAAAACGGTCATTGAAAGAAAGTGTGGAGGTCAAACTAACTATTATTTAAGCAGTTTTATTTTGTTTAATTATTTTATTTTATTTCATTTTTAGTTAATATGAGGTTTGCAATAAAAATGCAAATGTTTGTTTTTTTTTATTAAAAATTATTTTGTACTATAAACAGAATTATGATCATTGTAATAGTAGATCATTTATAACAATGTGTTTTGCATCCTTTTAATGTGATATAAAATTTTACCATATTTATTAAAAAATTGAGAAAAAAAAAGATTTTGGAGGAATTATGATATACATTTGCACTTTAAAGAGTCTATAATTAAAATATTTCCAGTAATATATCAAGAAAAAAAAAACATAATTTACACGCGTGTGTTTCTGAGCTTTGTATGATTAATAAAATCAGCTAACCATTAATTTCTCTCTTATTTTTATCTCTTGTTTTTACCTTCTATACTGAAAAAAATAAGACGTTTGACAATAAATAAATTCAAATGCAAAGTAATTAAAGAGGAATTGAAATGGATTTCCAGTGAATGGACAGAATTTCAGATATGCCATATGTAGGTCGTAATAATTGCTCGAGATGGTGAGCATCTAGAACTGGTCAGGTTGCATAACAGTTGAGTGCATCATTAAAAAATTAAATTTCTTTCCAAAATACTTTTCATTAGTTTTATCCTCCAATGGCTTATGCAATTACAAATTAATTTTCCAGGTCATGGATTCCTGCGCTGTATCATATAATATTATTCAGCACCTTATTAATTCAATCAATCGCACACTAAAATATTGCGCCAGCATGTGTCCAAAACCAACCTTTTGGATTTCAACAGCTTCTCACACCTGATAAGAATATTTACTTTCAAATTCACGGACTTAAAACCATCTTGAGGAACCTCCTGCAGGATGAAAGTTTTCAAAAAGTTGACAGAAACCATAAGAACTAGATTAATATGCCATGATAAAATAAAAATAGTACATGACCTTTGTCTTCTTCATTGCACTTTGTTTCATCTTTCATTCTTTAATACCAAATCTCAAATTCACTTACAAGAGCTACACAAATGTACCATAAAAGTGAGGAAAGGCTGAATTTTAGATCATGATATGGCCATTATCTACACATACAATGTTAAATGCTGCTGTCCTACCGGCCAGCCTTGGGTTCCCTTTAGGCCTTTACTGATGGCATCAAATGGAATCCATCCTCATGGCCTGAGAGACTCTAACTTTTTGCAGAAGTCAAAACTATACTAGAAATAACAATGCAATGTTTATGCAATTTAACATTCTCCATGTTCTGAGAGATTAGTTAGCGGATAAAGAGGCATTATACTCACACAGTGACCACATAACAAGTCCGCATGAGCAAAACTCATCAATCTTGCACTAAATGTAAACAAATTATAGTGCTTTGTTTCCACATTTGGTTGTTGACATGTCTATGGATTTTCAAGATCAAGATTGTATATGTAGGTTTATATGATTGTGTAAGGGAAAGTCTTTTCACCACTTTTAAAAAATGTTTTGAATTACTTAAACATGTTGTGTTATGATATGAGGACTCTCCGTAGTAATTAGATTTTTATACTGTTCAAAATTTATATTCTATACCCTATCCCTAACTTTTTTTAAATAAAAAAAAAAAAAAAAAAAAAAAAAAAGATGTATCAACGGTCTTCCAATTTTGTCCACACAACATCAAAAATTTCAGGTTTTACTATCATTGTTTGTGCAATTTAGGTGTAAACAAACATACATTCCATGTAGCATCTCAAATAATGATATTTTAAAATATACATTTAAATTTTATAAAATATAAATTTTAAAATACGTAAAATAAGTAATGAAATATATATATATATATATATATATATATATATATATATTTGTGGAACCAAAAATGGTTCTTCTATGGCATCGCTGTGAAGAACCTTAATTTTAAGCACCTTTAATTTTAAGAGTGTACGTCAAATTCCCACAGGTATTTCATGGCAACAACCCATATTTTTGACAAAACGGATGACAATTATTCAGTTAAACTTTCATGCTCAGCTCAGCTCTGTCAGTACACTTTAATAGTAGCTTCTCCTTTATTCTGTTACACTAAACGGTATGAATCAAATCAAATATTTTTTTTTCTTTATTATAACACAAGTTATTAACAATTCAATAGAATTAAATGTGACTTTTCTAGTTCCCCTTGAGTTCTGGAGAAAAAAAAATCAAATAACTGCCCAGCACAGGAAAACTATAGACCTGTCAGTGTGGCATGTATCCCATTCTAATGGATTTGCACAGAGCTTGCATTACTAACGCTGAATTTCTTACTTATTCTAACATTAAGTAACTTTGAAAATGGTCTCTTGGCACTTTTCAAATTACACTTTGATATTAGATCATTTTTTTCATATCTCATACATCCTTACAACAAGTTTGTATTAATTATTTATTTATTGAACTGTAAACCTCGATTTTGTCAGATGCAAGCTTAGAATGGGGAAAAATGACAATGGGGTGAAGATATTCGAGATAAATTACAGATATCTGATCTGAAAACATGTCAGAATTTTGCTTGTCAAATAATTGTTCGCATAAATGTTTTAAGGATGTATGTCTATTGGCAGAACAAACTCAAAAAGAAAATACATTTTTGCAGTGTAGATGCGTTTTATTTTTTAAAAAGAAAAACTTACTCTCTTCTCTTGAATCAGCGGCAATAATCCATGTGTTTTGTGAGGAGCCTCATTCAGTTCTTCAGAGCTGCAGTTGTGCTTTGTGATGGTTAGTTGACATAAAGCTGCTGTGCTTATGAAGAGCGTTGAGGTATTTCACCACCCCATGTGAACTTGTAAAGCTGTAGTTTTGCAACTTTCACCCAAGTTCATGTTCACAGAATTCAGAGCTTCTTTTCTTCATGCGTCCATTGGATAGAGGCATGCAATTTATTCCAAGAAGTGTCCTTAAATTTCCAACATTACATGAGCACCGGTGCACTGATGGCGTTGAATTTGAGCTGGGCTCAGTATAAACAACATATCTCTTACATTTACTCGCCCTCTCTCTTCCCTCGCTCCCTCCCTTCTCTCCTTCTCTCAGGTCTCATGTGTTGTTAGATGAGGGGAGGAGCCAGTAACGCGAGGTGTTCTTATACATCCATCTTCACTGTGACATAGAGAACAGATAGATGGAAGCCGAAAGCTCTTTGTCACAGTTTGTGCCATGGTGACACTGTTCAGACCGGGTGATCTGTGTCAATATTTGCTTCCATATTTACATTAACCTGCGCTGGGTGTGATTGCACTTCTTGCCAGCTGATTTACACAATACGCATTGTGTTTCCTTATGAGTAAATTATGAAAGGTCTGTGCCTTCAGCTATTTGAAAATGATTTTCTGATTTGTATTCCGCTGAAGATAAAATAGTTTTATACAAATAATATATAAATTATGTGTTTATATTTATTTATAGAATTTAATTTGGTAATATCAGCCTTCATGCTGAATATCCTCTTTCACATGGGCACTGGTGAGACTTATGATTTTTATAAGTTATTTTGTTTATATTTTTCGTTGTAAGCATGACATGTCAACTCAACATTTTCATGAAATAGTTTGTGATTTTTAGATAATTTCCCTCATTCTCAAGTAGGTCCACTTACTAGTAAAACAAATGGCTCCTGGAAAATGAAAGTAGTACAAAGTGGCACCACAATAATTCGAAAAAAGTAATCTATTATTCCCAATAAATTCATCCACAACATTTAAAATGTTCAAATGTTTTTTTTTATTGGTGTAATAGGGCATTAAAAACAGCACTCTTTGTGCTTGACACTGTAATTTACAAATAATATAAATTTTGGGGCAAAGTGTAAATTTCAAAACTGCTTTAATTTGTAACAGACAAATATGGAAATGTATATGACGTACAGACATAGAAACAAACTCTCCCTAATCTCTCCAGTTTCATAAAAATGTATTTGCAATCTAAATAGGCTTCTGTTTTAAATTACTGATAAAATGTCAGTCTTGTTACATTCCCAGAAGAGGACGAGATAGAATGGATAGTATATATTAAGCATTGCGTATAGTAGCAGTAGTATTTTTGATTTAACCAGGTATGTGCATGATGGCTTATGAAGAACAAGAGAAATATTAGAAATATTAGGTCAGGAACTCAAACTATTATACAGTACTCCTGAACACACTGCACTCAAATACATTCTGTCTCTTGAGCCTCTCCAATTGTTGTGGATTTGGACAAATATCTCGGAGGCAGAATGCATTTGCAGCACAAATCAAGCAGACATGGAGCAGGCTGCAATCATTTCCCATCATCAGCAGATTTATTGAAGGGAACATTTCCAGGGCCCCGTTGGACAGGAACGAGGGCCAGATCAGAGCAGTTCCACATCTCAGTGACCTCATAAGGCTTTCTATAGATTCAGACCTTCTTCTGTGGCCAGAAATTAAAGAGACCTGTTTTTCCTCTAACAGAGCATTTGTCTGGCAATGTACGCATATGTGTATTATCGGAAGGCTTCTTCATAATAAAAGTGCTGAAAAAGCCAAAACTTAGCAGTCCCTCACAAGATCAGGCGTGTGATTTTAACATGTTTCTGCCAGAAAGAACAGATTCCCCAGCTCACAAAAATATGTTTATGAATGTTTTGCCAACATTCTCATTAAGTTTGTTATTTATGTTATTTACTCATAAAATGTTATTTATAAATGTTCTCTGAATGTTCAAAACATCCAGTTTTTTAAATATTTAAATATTGTATTATAAATGATGTTTCTGTGCTACTATTTTGAGAATTTTATTAAAGACTTGATAACTCTGAACAAACATTCTGTTAACATTACTGGAAGTTATGTTTGTTCATGAGAAAACTTTGCCGGAGTGTTTGCTGAAGTTCTGAGAATGTTTACTTTCTTGAAAACAGTTTGATAATTAATACATTTACATCTTCATGATAGCCGGGTTGATAACAGATGTGCAGGATTTTTGTGGTTATTTGCACGTGACTCTGTTGACTGCGATGACTTCGGGTCAACACCTGGTTTCAGATCTCTTTGGAAGCTCCTGCTCCATAATCCAATGGTTTTTAGACCTCTCGCAAAGGAGCAGGAGAGGTAAAGTATGTGAGGCTTTTGTGTGGAGGCTCTGGAGGCTTTACAAGGGGAATGCAAGGAGACAACGCTGAACTGACAAGCAGTGAAATCAATGTGAGGTCTCGTGAAAAGACATGAAATAGTTAATTTAAGTCATTTCTCCTGGGCTTTCTGGTGAGATGAAAGGAGCACCGAATCAACGAGTTTAGACAAAAGACCTGCAGTTATTGACTGCTCTGAGTCAGAACTACTTCGTTTTAACCTTAAATGGTGCATATCCATCCATGTTGCAAGTTGCACTATAAATAGGTTAAATAAACTGTAGTTATCACAAATATTTATTTTGGATTCATTTATTTATAGATCTTTTGTAACCAAAGATACCCCCAGTCTCAGCTGTTGCACACCAGATCATTGTTTTCTCACAAAAGCTCTATTGTCTTCATAAAGAAAAATGTTATAGTTACATTTTTTTTCTTATTTTGTCCAGTATACATAAACACTAAAAATAAAGAATAAACATTAAGATTTTAATAAACATTAAGATAACAGGAATCTGTCTTGTGAATGGTAAAGTTAAACAGAAGGACAACAAAACTACAAACCCAGTCAAAGTCAAACCCAGAATGTCAAAAAGTTCAATTTGTTAACGTTCTATAACATTTATAATTCATTTTCTAATGCTAACATATAGAATATTAATGCACAACTATCTATATATATATATATATATAGAAAATATATGAAGACTGTATGTGAAACATGCTTTTATAACATGTAAAAGGAGGTGTGGAGGAGAGATTGTTTTAACCCACGGACTAAAAAAAACCCACGGCAACAGTGTACAAGTTGCCCAATTCCACGGTAAAACAGCAAACTTGGCAACCCTGATTTTAGTTCTATTGTAAATGTTTTACCATATTTAAACACATTATACAAAAATATACAAATAATTTTATTTTTTAACAGTTTTTTATCCAATCAGTGAAGAACATGGTCTAAAACAACATTACAGCCCTTTGACTTTCATTTTATTGATAAATAAAATTCATAAGATATTATTAAATTATAATTATACTAATTATATTTACTTATATATTGTATCATTATAGTATCAGCATGTTTACAAGTACATCTGGAATGTTTCAACTGTTTTTGTCCATTCTATGAAAAACAATGGGATCTAAAACAACATTGAACCCCTTTGACTTTCATTGTGTGGAGGAAAAAAAAAACCAGACATTTTTCAAAGAAGAAAAAGGTCATACAGATTCGGTAGGACAGAGTAAGTGAGTAAATGATGACACAATTTTAATTTTGAGAGAAATATGTACCTTTAAGCATTGAACATCTGAAGAGAATGTGAATGAGACCTATACTGTAGCTATACTGTAGCTTGTCTGTATGTCCACTACTGCAGGAAACCATATTATATCACACAACAACATACTTATTATTTTCTTGTCATAAGTCACAGCCTAATAGATTCCTGAGTTTATCCATGCATAGATAAGGATATGTGTTGGTAGGTGTGTCTGAATTCACGTGTGCAGGTATACATATGTGTACATGCCTTCTCCTGATTGCACTCATTAACTCGGTGGGGGGCAGAAGGCAAAAAGAACACAGATCAAGGACGGCAATGCGACTTAATCCGCTTTAAAACCTCGCTTTGAACTAAAGCGTTCTCATTTTTGTCCAGCCTCCTTTGAAAGACAGACAGAGAAAAGCAACAAAAGCCTGGGAGGAGTAGAAAGGGATGACATGAATATCTAGGAAAACTTAAATTGGCAGATAACTAGAGATCCTGTACCGCACCACTCATGCGTGGACAAAGAAACAGAAAAGCACAAACAAAAGCTCTCGAATCAAAGGATGCATCTCAAACAGGGTGTATTGTAATGTTACGTTACTAACCAGCTGAGGCAAACAGACCAGCAGCTGTGGAAATGAAATCGCCGCAGTGCCGAGTAACTGTCTTATTCATTTTATATGGACTTCTGGGCTTCTCACAGACTCAGGCTAATGATTTAAACAAGCCCATTTCAAGCCCAGTTCGTTGATGTCATTCAGTAATTTATGGCCGCGATCATGATGATGATAATTGTATTTATATGTGAGAGAAGGTGGAAAAAGGACTGAAAGGGAGCTCTGTTGCAGAGGAAGGTATAGATGCTGAAAGGAAAAAAAGGTAAATGGTGCACTTGTGGTCTGTTTTACTGTTAATCATGAGGCTGAATGAGAATGTCAGTGAAACCTTAAATGTGTTATTTCTTGACTACATTCATAAAGTATTTCAATAAATATAAACAGACATATTCTAAATCCCACAACAATACTAAACAATAAAGAACGTATTTATTATGGAAATAATGATTGTATGAGGAAAAGTGTCACGTGCCTTATTTTATGTGCTTTTATATGATTTTTTAAAATTTTAAATAGTCCAAAACGTATTTATAACATTTAATATGGGAAGACAAATAGTAATTATAAATATCATATCAAATTAACATCAATAATTTAAGTTAATATTGTCAAATTGAATTTCCTTTTGCCTTCATGCATAAATAATTTTTTAAATGTACAACTATTTTATGTTAGTCTCTCAATATGAGCTCCTAAATGCATAATATTTAGAAAACTTGAAATAGTTTTATAAGAAGTATAACATGTCATACAGTCACACAAGTAGACATACCAAA